AACCCTTTAAGTTTCTATAGAGCCTTTTCTTCTAGTGTATAATAATTTAGGACTCTTGTCACATTACATGCATCACAAAGTTTCAAATATGAATGTTTCAAATGCATTTTTTTCCCTCAAATATGTTTCAAATATGCCTGTTTAACTTTTTTTTATTGGCAATGTGCACCCAAAAATAAAAAATTAACATTACTATTTTGTAAATAAATTGTTTGGGTGTTTTCGTGCGCAAACAAAGCCCTTGCTTGCTTCATAAAATTGAGCTTAAACTACTGGAGACACATGGATTACTTATGTAATTCCTTAAAGGAGCTGTATGTAAGAAATTTATTTCAATTAATCATAAAATGGCCCTGAAATGTCAATAGACATTAAGAAATCATGTTCATTTCAAATACTTATATCACTGACAACAGTAGTCTGGCCAGGATATTGTCATTTAAAAAGTGCAGTTGCAGCCCTCAACTGATGTTGATGTTGTCATGTTGTGTTTTGGTCGGATGCTCCACCCTCCACCTATCTACCAATCACGAAGTCAGTAGTGTTGCGGCATCCGGGTTGCCAGCTCTGCTCTAGTTACCACCGCTGCAGCTCGTCACATTCCTGCTGGATCCTGCAGCCGATCTGGCAACCTCGAGTCAGGGAGGAGGGGGAGGGGATACACCACTCTACAGTAATTTGACAGTGATTGCAGTACTAGTTTTGGCCACAATATTACATACAGCTCCTTTAACTACTTTTCTGGGGCTTGAAAGTGGTATTGCGTAGGTTGTCAATTGTATTATCTGCATTATTCTATGCCGTTTTGTATTATAAATAGTGTGTTCAGTATGAAAATTTGCACTTTCAATACCTGGATGATGCATTGAATTAACTGAAAGAATTGAAGTGTGGAATGTTAGACTCTTCATGCACTTGGCCATTGCAGCTTTCCGTACGTTGAAGAGAAGTGACCTTAATGACCTTGTAAAATTCAAAAACAATTCTCTGCTCACATGCACCCTGGTATTCGTTAGCTCTGCAACAACTTAACTCTGAGTTGTTATGCATTTAAAGCCACTGTTTTTTTTCCATCGAGTTTTTCTCAACACACATGCACACATAACCACCACCACTAAGCTATTATTATTATATATATATATAATCTGACATGAAAAGGTTCTGAACAAGAACACAGAACTCTATTTCCAAACTGGAATTATGTACTGTCTGAAGAGAGTCAGCGCAAAGATAAAGCTGCAAGAATCCATTCACAAAGGAGCCATTAAACATTCTCTGACACGATCCACTCTGTGAATAATCAACATGTTTACGGAGGAAGGAGGAGGTTGTCACCTTTCTGAATTACATATTATCTGTATAGCAAAGAAGCATTATTTCAAATTACAGAAGGTACTCTGTGGTTTATTCTAAAGGATGAAAAAACTGCAGAATCCAGTCTTCTGTCAGAGCTAACGCAAGCCTATGTAAAAAGAATTGGTCTTCTGATACTTGGTTATTATTTCCATATATCCTGACTGAACATAATTCTGGTGCAGAATTACTCAAAAAATCAGCCTTGGATCCAGGCTTAGCCTAATGGTCAATAATATGAACTGCCACAACCAGTGGTGGAAATGGCTGAAATTCAATAGGAGACCCTAGTTGGGGGCAAATGTAATATTTTTAAACCATAGAAAATCCCACTATATTTTTACTATTAAATTTGCATAGAGTTTGGAGGCTATTATGTGGATAAAAGGCAGAAATTCTCTACTTTCTGAACTGGAACTCACTTTATTTTAAGGTGCCCTTGTTACAGTGTAATCATACAAATAAGTACTGAGTAATAATATATATTACATATATATTATATAATAAACATATACTTTATAACATTTAAATTAGGGCTTGGTTTAGGATTAGTTGCTCGTAATTATGCATAATTTACTGCTATTGCTATAGTAAGTACATGTAAGATGTTTAACAGGGTCAAATAAAGTGTTATATACCTATCTTTCTCATTAATTTCTCCCAGGGCTTTTAAAAAATACTTTGTTAAAGAGTTATAAGCCCTAAACCAAACCAGCCAGCTCCAAGGTGAATGACAACATTAAAAAAAGTATTTGAAACAAAAAAGTATTTGAAAATTGGACAAATAAACAAACAAAGTTATAATACTGCTTTAATGAAAATACACTGTAAAAAATATATTTTTATTTTTATTTTAGTAAACTAAACTTTATTTATTGTGTCCGATTGATTTTTCCAATGTATTTGAATAGACAAAAATATATATATATAATGAGTTTAGGTTTTTTACAGTAAATGAACTACAGTCCCATAAAGTATTACAAATTAAGTACTTTTGATAAAAAATGTACTGCAGAATTACGCTTATTATTTTTTTGCTAACCTTGAAGGCACCTCCGGGGGAGGGGCTGTGCTGCAGAGGTCCTTTGGTGCCATTACTTTTTACCTAATTCAGTGATTGGCAGAGAGTTCTCTGCAGAATCATGCAGTGTAGAACAAGGAAGAACAAAAAAAAAAAAAAAACAGTAAAGACTATAGCCTACAGTATACAAGCAAGAGTTTGTTGTTAGTCGCCAGCATCACACCAGCTCCAGACAATGACTGACACTCAAAACTGTCCTGTTACTATAGCTAACATTACAACAACAGCATATCTGGGTTCTGTGGAACATGGCAAAACCAATGTTACTCACGTATGAAGCAGAAACAATGCAACCTTATTGGCATCCGTTTTCAGGCCTTCCCGCTTCTGTCTCTCCAGCGCTGGAAGGCTTTTCAAAGATTAATGTGGGTCAAAGCTCTTGCCAGATCATAACCTTTCTTTTTCCAGTGATTTTCCTCTGACCTTTTTTCTTTTGTAATGTCTCTCAGCCATTTCTCTTTCTACAGTGTTTCTTCAAATCTCCCTCTTGTCCCCTACTGCTGATTGGCTACAAGTGTGTTGTTGCGCTTGGTTCGATCCACTTTCAGCATTTCTCAGAAATCACTTAACTGCACATTTAAGAGAAGTATTTATTGGTGATAAGTAATCTTATAGCTCATGGTAGATCTGTCTTAACAGGCTAATAAGTTAGCCTTAAAACAATTCCATCAATGTAGAAAAATGAACATGAACATATGAACAATTGTGTACCCTAAATCAGATCTCCATTATATTCATTTGAGAATATATCTCCAGAACCAAAATGTCTGTTTCCCAATTAGTGGGCGAGATGAGTGTTTTTCAAAAGCTTTCTGAGATTTTATGCTGATGGTCAAAAGTCTGATTTGTGAAACTGTGTGAAGCTCAAACTTATCACTTGAGATCAATGTCCCCAGACTTCTGACATAAACTCTAACCATCTTTGTTTCATGTGAAAGATCACAACACATTCCAAAATTTCACAAAATGTGCATTTTGGAATATGTTTACATCCAGTTTATTGTGAACTCAGTAACACTTTAAAATACTTTTACAGTAATAAGGTACTAATAGACCATTTGCAAAGTATTTGTTTAAAGTTAATTCGTAGTTTTTATGTAGTCTCTACATTATTAATATATTAATAGGCTATATACAAATAGTGAGTTATTCATTCATTGTCGCTGTAATTAACATAATTATTATTGTTTAATTATTGTTCTCCTGTGCCTGAGAATGTTTTCAAATGCATTAAAGGGTTAGTTTGCCCAAAAATTAAAATTCTGTCATCATTTACTTACCCTTTTTTCTTTCCAAACCCGTTTTCGAAACCTCAAATGAAGTTATTTTAATGAAATCTAAGAGATTTCTGTCCCTTCATTGACAGTCCACGCAACTACCACTTAGACACTTCAAAAAGTTCATGAAGAGATCGTGAGACTAATCCATTTGAATTGAGCCATTAAGTCCACATTTTCTGAAGAGACTGTATCGCTTCTTATGATGAATGGATTTAATTTAGGCTTTTTATTCAAACATTCATCACCAAACACATCAGTTATGGTAAACGGAAACTCAAGCATGCTTGACGTGCGAGAACCAATGAGGTTCATTCTCGTGTTGCGCTGCACGTTTGAGCTTCCGCAATGAGATTTGATCTTATGCATCAATAGCTTCTGTTTATGTTGCTTATCAGTTAATAAGTTAACAAAGCATAAAAAAACATTAACTAACTAGAGCTAATTAAAAAATAATAGATTAGTTAATTACAGTGACAATGAATGAATAACTCACTATTTGTATATTAATATATTAACAATAGACTACAATATATAACCTGAATTAAATATAAACTAATAGTTTGCAAATGATTTGTAAGTACTTTATTACTACTATTTAAAAAATGTATACCGTTTCTCCCAGTGATACTCTGCAGATGCGTCCTAACCCAATAAAGACAGTATTATGATATGACAAGATATTGTGGTAAATGTATGTTAATGTTATAGTAATGCTTTATTAATATAGTAATGTTGTAGGATATACCCTGTCAGTTATCTTTGTTTCTTCAAAATTATATGGTATTCTACCAGACAAATTAATTTTAAAAAAAACTTGTGTGAAATGTGTGCTAAGAAGACATTTGCCATTTAATTTTCTTTTGTTATCTGGTACACAGAAATGTTTTTTAAATAGGCCTACTTCATTTGAAAATGTCAGTGCAGATAATCTCACCTTTCCAGCATTACTACTTTGGTCATAAATAAATGTAATAAAAACAACGAAATGGCAAATATGTATTGTAGAAGCCTTCAATTCTGCATTTCAAGTTAGCTAACATAAAACCACAAAAAAAGTAAATGGCAAAGAAACACATGTCAGTCTTTTCTTACTATTTCCCTCCAGTTAGAAAGGTCACTGATTTGGCCCTATCAGTTTTGATCTGTTCCAGCTGAATAATTTGATATATGGATGATGTAAACTTCAGTAATGTTTAAATCGTAAAGATTGATATATAAAAGCATCAGGCTCATTCTGTGCACAGTGGACTTGTTACTTTGACATAATAAATCTTGACATGCTCTGATGTTTCTGTGGTTGAAATGATTTTAATAAATGGTTGTGACAGAAAACAGCAATAATTACCAAAAAACCCTAAACCTTCTCTCCATCCATTTACATTCCTGCCAAAACTATGTGCCTTCAAATCTGTTTCTATAAAAATACTTCACTGATCACTCCTTAATTTGCTAAAAAGGCAACACAGGTATATGTGATTTGTAATTAAGGAATTAATACAATTAAAATATAGTGTTATGTTACTGTATGTGGATGAGGCTGGTACATCAGCATAGAGTAAGTCATTAAATACAAAATTCCCAGTCCTGAAATAATCAGGAAAATATCCCATTGTTGAACCATATTATTCATATATACTGCAATACAATTTGATCACAAGTGGACTCATTTTCTCTGAACAGTAACTACCAAATACATAAACATTACATATAACAATGAAAATTAAACATTGTGCAATCTTTACGCTATATACTTTCTACATGACCCAAGGTACTGTATTTTTTTTTTTAGAAAGACAAATGAGGAAAGTGTCTTCTATAGAATAATCTGGTTTTTGAAGCTCCTGTTGAGATCTTTATGAGGCAAGACGATAGAGTTTCGAATGATGACCTCTGATGGAATATTCACATTGCAGCCTACAAGGAAAACATAGAGAGTATAGATGGTCAGACAAGAGTCCTGTTGCCACATAAATGCAGTAGCAAGAGGATTCATTGTTATAATTTCTTAAGGAACAGCTCCACCTTCTGGACTGCTCCTACCATTACATCTCATTCATATGTTTAAAACACAATTCAGATCATAATCAGTAAGATTTTATTTACAAAAATAAATTAGTACTTATTCAGCAATGATGGATTAAATCGATCAAAAGTGGCAGTAAAGACATTCACAATGTTACAAAATATTTTTAAAAGAATACCGTTCTTTTGAGCTTTTTCAAAATGGATAATAATAAGATATTTTCTTGAGCACCAAATCAGCATATTATAATGATTTCTGAAGGATCATGTGACACTGAAGACTGCAGTAATAGCTACTGAAAATTCAGCTTTGCCATCACAAGAATTATTTGTAATAGAGGCAAGATCTTCATACCAAGGATGGTGATGGATGGGGTTAGACCTCCATCCCTGAACAGAGTCTCGCTGTCAATCTTGGCATAAGGATCGTTGGGATTGGGGTCACTTGGCGTTCCTTCTACTCTTGCCCACTTCCCCACTGTACTGTCCCACCCAACAATACTGCTCAACACACAACAGTGGTCCTGAAACAGAGAAACAGATATTTAATCATTCATTTCCCTTTCATTTCTGATTGCCATTGTTGCAAATGTGAGCAGTAACCCGCTTAACCTGTAACACGGCTCCATGTAAAATGATGGACTCCCTCACTCTTACGCCTCCTCCAATTGTCACCCCTTTGCCAATAGAAACGTTAGGACCCAGCTGAATAAAGAGATACAAATTGAGTACAATATAGAAATATTTCTTTATATAAGCTTTTATCCATGTACTCACCACAGCAGAGGGATCAATGTTTGCTGTAGGGTGGATATAAACATCTCCTGAAGGTGGAAAACCAATCATTGTAAGTGACTTTGTAGCTTTACAAAGTAATTTTATATATTTTTCAGCCTTTGTAATTATTGTGAAATTTACTAGCAATATCTGAGTGAAAATTGTTTCCAAAATTTCCAAAATGTTTAATAAAATTACAGCTTTATAGAGCTAAGCTTGTTCAGAGAGAATACTTCATGCATCTTACCTATTATTTTGGGAGTTCCGTCTTGGTTTGTGGCCAGTCTCTCAGGATGTGTCTGATGATACTGCTTGAGGTACAAACGACTAGCGTATATTGCTGACCTGTATTATATTATAAAACATCATGTACTGTATATAAGGAACAGTGGCAGAATGGGGGGGGGGGGGATAGATAAAGTCAGATAAAGTCTTACCCTGCAGACTTTATCTGACTCCAGAAATGCTGTGTTTTGTAGACAAAGAGTTTTTTCTGTCCTGCTAGGGTTGTAAAGATGTCCTGTTCCAGCCGAATCACCTCTGGCATCTGCTTGCCATTAGTGAGCTCTTCTCTGTGGAAAAAATAAAACTAATTTCAGTGCAAACAGGTCAGACTGACCTATTATTATACAATCTGCAATGCGGTTTAAGGGCTGAATTATGTCAGTGACACTCACTGGATCCTCTCTTGCTGGTTCCTCTGGAAAACCTTCCCAATATGGCCAAATATATCTGGTGTGAACAAATAGATACCACAGTTGATAATGTCACTTACAAAAGTACTGGGTTTCTCCACAAAATGGAGCATCTGAAAGAAAATGAGTGATAATTAGCATATTGTGAATGTAATCAACTTCTAAATGGCATTTATTAAACTGAATGTTTGACCTACACCTCATATGAATTATTACAAGCAAGCAACCTTGTATCTTTATTCATAGTACCTCATTTGTCTCATGATTTTCCACAATGCAGCCATAGTTCAGAGATTGTGTTCTATTGGCCTAAGAGACATAGTAAAACGTTTGGATTAAAATCCCAAAATTATATTATCCTCTCTCTTATTTACTAAAGTTAAACCTACTGTAGTTCCAAGTAAGACTCCACAATGACCCTCGCCATGTTGACGGTGGAACCGGAGCATTTCCTGCAAGGGGAACTCAGAGCATACATCAGCATTCATGAGGAAAAATGCATCCGGACCCCCAGACAGGATCTGGTCACGAAAGTGATAGATCCCACCACCTGTACCCAAGGCAGTAAACTCCTGCAGGTACCTTCAGATTTATAAACAAAAAAGTGTTTAAGCCTATATATATTTTTAAATTACAAGATTATCAGATGTGTGAGACAAAATATCAATATAGTAGCAATCATATAATAATAAAAAAAATCTATTTGTTTTATTTAAAATGTCCACTGATTTGAACTCGTATCTACCGTATTGGGATTTTAAACTCCTGCTGAGCACAAGAAATGAACCGGTTTAGCTCGTCATTGGGCTGATAAAAACCTATTAGTATGATCTCTTTCATATCAGGAACCTGTAAGAGAATAAAATAGGGAAGACTTTTAAAATAGATATTGATTACTATAAATACACTCTTAAGAATAAAGGTTTCAAAATGGGGGGTTTGCAGTGATGCTAATAGAATAACCATTTTGGGTTTCCCAAAGAACTATTAATTGAACAGTTCTTAAAAGAAGTGTGAAGAATATTTTAATGATCTAAATAACCTTTTTCCACTATATAAAAAATTGTGCAATGGAATGGAATTAAAGGTTCCATGCATGGATGCTAAAGGTTTTTCATGGGACCATAGATGTCAATAAAGAACCTTTATTTTTAGGAATGTAACGTACATGTGAAAAACACAATCAACATTCATCAGTGTCTTACTTGGGCACAGGCTTCTATGTGGTGCTGTAACATGGGAACTCCTGCCACAGGGAACAGCGGTTTGGGAACCTCGAATGACAGGGGGCGGAACCTGGTACCTGAACGCAGGGCATTTTAATGAAAAGCGTTTTCTATAAAGTTTTAATCTCCGCATTTACTAGTATTTGCTACTTTTATATTTAAGACGGCAACTTCAACGGATTTCAGTTATCCTATCGGACGCTATCACACGTCCATTGCGCCACGTCATCGTAATGTGATATTGTTGTATCATTCATCTTTCCTTCATATAACATTCAAAGAATAACTGAAGTCTCACCTTTTTGAAGTCCCCCAATTAGGATAATCGCTTTTAACATCTTTCAGTTATGATGCAGTCCACTCTTCAAGACGAGATACGGATTTAATTCGCTGGTTATATCACGTCGATTTTTTAATGTGATTACTTCATGTAAATCTTTTTCATGAAAATAAATGGTTACAAATTTTGTTTAATGAAATAAAAAAAACTGCTTCTAAGTCAAGTTTTTCTAACAACACGAAACTGACTCCAAAACCAGTTTTATTAAATCCATTCAATACAGTAATGCGGAAGTGAGTGTACTGTAACCCCGCCCATTGTGACGTGTCTGCTGCTCTGCCCAATCTGGTCGTCTGTTTGGGTTGATACTGTTTAGAGGAGATATGGGTCAACTTATGGACAGATTGGTCCAGTTGTTCCATATTTAGGTCAAACAAGCATTAAATAGAATTAAATATAGAATACAAATCCGGCCACATGATACTCATACAGACAGATAGCATTCTTATTGTTTCTCTTACCCCCCATTTCCCATGAGGAAAGATGGTTCAATTTATTTATTTATTTATTTATTTCGAGCATATAATTACACATGACAAGGCAATAAGAAGCATTTTGATTATACAAGCCTTTAAATTCATCATACTTTCATCAAACTTTAACAAATAATTACATCTATTGCTCGAAACGGAGTGGGTAGAAGTCAAACTTATTTGAACCCACCCCGGTTACCATAAACAGGAAAAACAAAAACAAAACAATGGTAGCTTCTTCCTTAAACATTATCATAACACACAATTACAATTTTTTATATAAATACATATAAGAAAAACATGAGAAAGGAAAGAAGGGGAACCGCTTCTCCCCCACCAAAAAGCAAAACAATACCAAAAAACAAAAACAAAACACAGCATATCCTAAATACACACCATATATGATCTTAGGTAACAATTATAATAATACCAACAATGGTAATCAAATACCTACAAGGTAAAATAAGACAGATTATGAATACATGGATACATCTATGATAATACCAACAATGGTAATCAATCAGAATACCTACAGGGTAATATAAACAGACTATGAATACATGAATACAACACCACAAAATGATCTACCACAAGATGGCAGACCTAATTCTCCCATCTAGTCTTATTTACAACTTTCAAGTCTTTCAATGCCACCTAATTAAGAATGTCTGAGATAATGAAAAGAATAAACCTTGTAAAAAAAAAACGAATAGTTTAAAACAAACAAAGTTCTTAAAAATGTAATCATTTCTTTTAATTTTTTTTGTATTTAATGTAATCATTATGGGTTTATACATTTATGAGTGTTTAGGTTTATACTCTAAAAATCAATGTGTAACCATTATGTAGAAATTACAAAAAATACTTTCCTTGGACCATGAATAGCCTACAGTGAGGTCAGCAGGGGGTGTTCACCCTGTGTGGGTCCAATTACAGTAAAACGCCCCAGTAGTGACGGGGTCACTGTCATAGAGCAACGTGCTTGGATGAAACATTAAACCGAGGTCCTGACACTCTGTGGTCACAAAAAATCCCAGGATGTCTTTCGAAAGAGTAGGGATGTAAAAATTTTGCCCAGTGGCCTCTGTCCATCATGGCCTCCTAATCATCCCATATACTAATTGGCTTCATCACCCTGTCTCCTCTCCACCAGTAAGCATGGTGTGTGGTGGGCGTTCAATATGGCTGCCGTCGCATCATCCAGGTGGATGCTGCACATTGGTGGTGGTTGAGGAGATTCCCCCTTATATGTAAAGCGCTTTGAGTGCCGAGAAAAATAAATGTAATGAGTTATTATTATTATTATTATTATTACAAGTGAGTGTATTTTATGCATAATTTAAAAATCATTAAAGAATAATTCATAATTATTTTATTCATAATCATTTACATTAAGGCCTAAATTGTAATGATAGTTTGGGAAAAACATTTCACTCTATAAATCCTATTGTAACATATTTGATACTTCGAATTCTAAGGCCTAATAAATTATCAATATGATCAAACATGATCATATTAATTTATAAAAATCATGTTAAAATGCAAGTATCAATGCTTTTGAAGAATGTTTATTTGTACATCTCAATCATCACTGTATTGCATTATATGTTTTGCCCCCCACAATCAAAACTACAGAGCTTTTATAATAGCCTACTACACATTTAAATGTTATCTTACTAAGATATTATAGGGAGACACAGAGAGACAACTGATATTAATAGCAATTTATGTATAGTATTTTATCAGAATTTCATATTTTTTTGGCCATATAAACAAATGCCATATAACTTTTCGGCCATATAAATAACAATAACAAATTGTTGTAATGACACACCAACACTTGAACAGGAGATGAACCCAAGTGCAGGAGTATAAACAGAAAACAGGTAAGTAGCGTGAGGTAAGTATATACAGGTAAACATTCAATCTTTCAAAACAGTCTTTAGAAAACTCAAGGAACATAGGCAGGGAAATCAGGGAACATAATCTTCCCCCAAAAAAAAAAGAAGAAGAAGAAAGAGTTCTAGAATCCTACAATAAGGCCAGCTGCAAGTGTGAGGTTTAAATGCAAACAGTTTAACCTTTAGACAAAATCCTAAAACACATTTGCAAACTTGTTTTAGGATTTGTCTATATTCAATAAACTGCAAAAAAGACATTTCATAAGTCAAGCTTTACAGGGTTAAAAAAAAAAAAAAAGGTTAAACTGTCATTGTCAGTATACTACAGCTGTGACATGTAAAAGCCACGAATCTTGAGCTGATGATATAACAACCATCTTTCAAAGTGAAATGTGCAAACTTGACCAGTCTGAAACACTATATATTACTACACCCTATATGAAAAGACCCATTGTTGAACTACGCAGAAGCCCTGCTTCGTGACTGGTATGAGAGGTGCTGATTGATCTGGAGGTTCAAGTCTTCATGGACATATAAGGTTCTGGTCTCAAAAGAAGAAGACCACACAAGCTGTTCTGTAAACAGTGTCCCCATGCTTGTCTGCCCCAAACGAGAGCCTCTCCATTCTCAGACACAAAGCATATAGTAGTGTTCCTTTCACACCACTCTGGGCATGCATGGATATTAAGGGATGTCCCCTCTGTCACACCCACTGTTGTTTTACTGTTTCAGAATGTGTTATGCGTATTGTTGCCATAATTCAAATGCAAACGTGTTTATTAATGGTATAAGAAATGGATGACTTGTGTACACCAGTTTAGGCTTGTTTATTGTGTTGTATGTGGTCATCCAGGTCATCATGTTAACACTTGGGAGAAAATGCAGTTTCTATATTATGTTTACATGTAAGCACTAATAGTCTTGGGCTCTAATAACTGAAGCCTTGACTAAGATTCTGGTTTTGATCATAGGTTTTGGCATATTTAAAAAATAAAAATACAATTAAGGGTTAATTCAAATTAAATATATATTACATTTGATTAAATGTATATTAAATTGTTTTGATCTAAGGTTATATGTGTACTGTGAAATTGTTTGTAATGTCTTTAATACAGAACATGTACTTGGACTTTGATATAAGAACTGGGTAAAACTTATTTGTCCTTGTTACACATTACATGTAGGCCTAGTTACTGTAGTAATAACTGTGATACATAATTATTACATGCAACTTACACTAAACTAAACCCTAATCCTAACCCCAAATACATATTTATTATTATTACTCAGCACTTTAATTAATAATTATACTGTATGCACGGACACTATAAAATAAAGTGTAACCAAGAACTGCTGTTATATATTTAAAAGGTATCGACCCAACTCATACCTGGTTCTCATATCGGCCCGTTCTTCATTCTTGAATATTCCTGCCATCATATTCTCTCCGGTTGTTTTCATCCATGTTGTTCCTTGCAATCAAAACATGCATCAAAAGATCTAAAATATTTTATTTTGTGACTGAAAGTTTTTTGAAAATGAGAGACTTTGTTTATTCACTTCAGGCATCATCTTTAGTCCAGTTAGGTTTTTTTTTAGCCTGATAAATGAAGTCATGTGTTAGTAGTAATCTAAGCATTCTTGAAGGAAAGAGTAATGACATTTTGCTTTGCTCTTGAATAAATTCTTATTGATGGATTTTTTGTTGTTTTTTGAAAGTTTAGGCAAACTGATTACAATAAATACTGCTAAGGTCACAGTTTAGTTGGTGGCCTTTGCAAATAAATACTGGAAAAGTATGTGTGAGAAGTTGACTATAAACTTAGCACTTCCCATGTGGATAAATTAGGTATTATTTTTAAAGGTAAAATTAAAGTGATGTTCTCTTTCTTTACTTTTGATAGTTTTTAAAAACAACTACATGTATTTGTCTTCTCCATGGTCTTCTACACTTCATTAAAAGTGTAAAAGGATAAGTGAGCTTAGATTACAGGCCAAGAGAGATGTTTACAGCAGAGTAAAGCTGTGGAAATGACTGAGGATAATATGTAAATGGGTGGCAGTTAAAAATTAGATGCTCACTCTTTTTGTTTGTTCCTAATAAGTCTGGATAATGTTGTGCGGCAAAGCCAAATATATACTCCTGGAAAGAAGCAGAAGTGAGGGTCTTTTCATATGCTTGAACCATTGTTTTGTTGTTAACAATCTGGATTTTGCTGACCAGAGTTTAAAACCCCCACAATGGCTTTTTGCACACAAAATGAGACTTTGTTTTTAAATTTACTATTTGAAAATGTTTCTCTTGGTGGACATCTAATGGAGGACATTTTTTGATCAGATGTCAGCAGTTGCACCCGGTCAGATTATGCTCTATCCATCATGACTCATGACAACACATCCAATCTCATCATTATGGTTATCTCTAAGACTTGTATTGCCATTGAGGATTGGACTCCCAGTCTCCCTCAGAATATAAGGGAGATCAATTTAAAGAAATGAGTTTGACTGTTTCAAACCAGCAGCAATGGAAAGTTCACTCACCACTGAAGCAAAACAGCACAGGAAGCTATTTTATCTAGGAGACATTCCCATGTTGTGTCCATCTTCCACACACGCACAACGATTAGAAGAGTAACAGTGAGTTTCATATCCATATAAGGCTGCCCATGTAACATTTTAATATAAACTGTTGGAGACATGCAACTCAACTCTGATTGGTGAAATGCATCT